ATCCTAACTTCCTGTGTAAGGCGATCGTGGTGGTGTAATAGCTATCGTCGCTGGTTCTCGGCTGGGCGATTTGGTGTCGTAGAATGTCATGTTGAGCCCTTGACAGGACACGAGGCATTAGTTGTTTTACGTATTGATTTAGGAAACTTAATGTATCATGTAGAATGTTGTTTATTACATTAAATCATATACCACTGAAGGTAAAGAGTCCATAAGAAATAATCGTGGTTATGAACTTATACTATTAACTGTATGTCGACTTTAACAATGTCTACAGAGAGCTTTGCCTCTTGAAATGTTATCTAAATACTGTTGGATGGAAAATCGGGATAGGAATCGAAGGAAGCGTCAAAAGCACCATTCCTTAGCTTTATTTCAATCACAGTTTTGTTAGATTTTTTTTTAATAAAGACACGTGTTGTCCAGTTGCATGTATCATACCAATGGTTTGGTTCATTATTTGTCAGAAAAAAACAGTAAATTAAAATAAATTAAAATTTGTTGAACTATTGACACTCAGTACCTTTATTTATTTATATTGCTGATTCTGGACTTATAACAGATGTCCATCTCCCAAAGAGGACAAACCTAAGAAAACGCCTGAAACACTGTACTTAACATAAAAATAAGTGGAGGGTCCCTTAATGATTGGTACAAATCGTGTCAGGTGAAGGGGAGGCTCGGCAGCTGTACACCTCTCGACGTGTTGGGGTACGTGGGAAATTACAGATGCTGGATGACCTGTCCAGGTATAAGGGTCACTTGACCAGCTTGACCAGGTAGGATAAAAGGAAAGCTCGCCGAACGGGACTGCACACAGGTAGCAACATCGGCTGTTGAACGTAAGGATGAACGGACTTCTCCTCATTTGTCTCTCGCTTGTAGCTGGTAAGTCATAATCTTAATTATAAATTTACTTTGCATGTTCACTATGCACACTTTGTTAACTTATGGTCAACCTTTTTATCTAAAAGAGCATCACATATCTTAGAATAGAAAATATAAAATTCACGCTCATTAAGTATTGATGTAGTAATTGTGCCTGAACATCTTTCTAAAGTAATACATCTGTAATTATCTGTACTGCTCTTGTGTCCTTCAAGATACTCATTGATCAGTAGATAATGACAGACAATATACATGAAATATATATATGATCTTACATGAGTTTCCATTTCATATGAGAATTATGAAACGAGTCAAAGAATTTTTCCATTTAGCGAGCCTCTGGCGAGCTAAAATGAAAAATTCGTGACGGTTTTCATCAATTCCATATGAAATGAAAACGAGTGTAAGATCCTTTTTACCACATACTCAAGATTTGTGGCATTTATTCGTGTAAAACGACAATTTTCATGCAACCTTGACTTTTGACTCCATTGCGTAAGTCTGTGATGTGATGTACTTGTTCTAGGCGTGACATCACAATTGAAACAGTTGAAACTTATAACCAATCACAGGGCTGATAGGTCATATTACATGGGTTAATATGCCAAAATATCTGGCATGGTTATAATCAATGAATAACAGTACATTATGAGATAAAAACAATCTTTTGATAGTCATCCCATGATATAAAGATACGTTATTATAACAATAATTATAGTTCATGGCTATATTTTTTTTCTTTCAAATAAAATTGCGGTTGAAATATTGATAGCTTTAAGAACTTCACTATCTGATAGCTGGTTTTTTATTTCTTGAACGAAAGTATTTGGTACATTATCATCTTAATTATTCAAACACACATTAACCCATTAACCTTTTCATTCTTGTCAGGTTCCTTTGACGAATTTCTTTTCTGAAATAATCGAAAAAAATAATCTTGTCGTTACTCTTTCTTTTCTTGCATTTTCCTCATATAATTCCCCATATAACCTTACTGAGTTTCATAACCGGTTCTGATATAGCTTCAAACACTGAAAGCTTTAGTTGCCATTCGTTAGGAAGATGATCGCC